CCACGAGCTCGTCTCCGTGGGCATGTCTTCTGTTGTCCTCTGTAGGGCTGTGTCTGTACCGACCCTCTGTCAGGCGCCGGACACCAGATGCCCATTGGCCTCAGGCGGGAGTTAGGTCGCTGTGGCTACTACCCTGCTCTGCTGGGCAGCATCTGCGTTCACACGCTCCCCGGTGGTCCAGCGCCTGCTCCCAGGCGCGACTGGACTGGCACAGGGGCAGGAGCCCAGGCCCGCTCAGGCTGTGCTCACCGGCCTGGCGAGCAGGGGCGGCTGGTTCACAGGGAGGCCCACGCGCGTGTGCCTGTGTCCCGGGGAGCCCGTCACAGGGCGAGGGCCGACTCGGTGACAGCATCTGGAGGGCGGCGGTCGCAGCCATGTGTGCATGCGCCGGAGCGTGGTTTGCTGTGTCCTGTGCAATCTGCGTGGAAGCGCGGCCTCCAGTCTGCAGGAGAGGTCAGAGTAGAGGCTGCCCCGGGGGAGGCAGGAAGCGATGGGAGGGCTGGGGCCGGGCGGGGCCCGAGGCGCCGCTTTCCACGCGGGGGTTGGTTACTTGGTGAAGCGTCCGGGGCTGCGCGTGCGCACGTGCTCCTGCGCGTGTGCACAGGCTCCTGCGCGCTCGGGCTGCGCTTCCCAGCCGCCTACCTGGGGCGCCGCAGAGAGGAAGCGCATTGACCGCCCCGCCCTGGCTGAAAGCCCGGGCAGAGAGAATGGCCGTTTCTGCGTTGGTGGCGGGTGAAATCGTGTTGACATCTATTTCATCTTCATCTTCTCGGCCACATGTATTTGTTTTATCATGCCCATGGCGCGTCGCTACGCTGGAGCATATATTCCTAAATTTACAAATAAGCGCATGTCTGTCGGGGAGGCTTGCTGAGTACTTTTTAAGTTTGGGGCGCTGCGGCTCAAGGTGGCAGCACAGGGGCAGCTTGAACAGAGCCCGGGGCAGCAGGTGGGTGAGGGGGAGCCGCTGGCTCTGGGCTGTTGGGGTGGTGTCCCTGTTTCTGGGTTCCAGGAGCTCAGGGCGTGGCCGCTCTGAGAGGCAAGAGGACAGAAGGGGGCCAAGCAGAAGGAGGAACAGAGGCCCCGGCCACTCCCAGGGGGTGAGAGGCCACTCCGGAAAGAGCATCTGGGCCGTCTTGGTGACCGCCCTCCCGCTGGTCTGGCCCCCAGCGAGGAGGGCTTGGTGACCCCGGTGGCTGCGGGCGGTGGTGGCGTGGCTGGTGAGGCAAGCAGCTCAGAGTTCAAGGGTCACGTTGTTTTGGGGGAGGAGAGGTGTACAAATGTTTTCAGGTAGGGCCAGAGGGTGGAAGAGGTCGAGGCAGCCGGGAGGGGTGGTGGCTGGTGGCTGGCGCCTGGCTTTCCGGGAGCTGCCCTTCCCCAGAGGGAGGAGTGGAGCACCAGGAAGAAGAAGAGGCTCAGGGAGCCCCCCTTCCTGGTTAAGGGGTCATGAGCCACTCCGCTGGCTGTGGGCAGGTTTGGCTTCTGGAGTGGGAAGAGGAGGTGCTGTGGAAGACAGAAAACCAACAGTGAGGGTGGGGTGCCAGGTGCAACCTTGGCACTGCCTGCGCCCTGGCACCCTCATTTCCCCTCGTGCCTTGGGGTCACCCTAAAGTGTTCTGTACCCCGAGATTCTTGTGGATCGTGCTGAGGCCTTGGCTAGCACGCTGGGCCTCATAACGCCTTTCCCTGCAGAGCTGGGGGCCGCCTGGCTCACTTTACTTGAACTCACGCTTATTTGCCAGCAGGCGTCCAGCAAATGGGGAAGGAGAGTGCCACCAGGGGCTTTCAGTGCAGGCCTGCGCCTGGTGGGCCGGGGATGGCCAGCTGTCGCCCGTGGGGAAAGCAGCGGCTATTGCAAGGACCTTGCAGCACGGTTGCTGGCCTGACCTCGCTGAGCTTTGAAAAACCACGCCTTGCACGGGGAGCATGGATGTAAATGCAGTGTTCGCCCATTTTTACAGCGGCTCCTCTCTGGGAAGAAACGTGCTGGGATGGTTTGTCCAACTGGCGCTGGATTGTGAAGCCACCACGTGCTCCCGGTAAGTCAGTCAGTTCACGTCCTTGTGCCCAGTGCTCTCATGAGTGGACGGCCCTGCTGAGTGGGCCTGGTGTGCACACGGGCCCAGGGCTTGCAGCGTGGCCATCAGGACGTGGGGCTCCCTCAGTGAGCCACACATGCTGAGGTGTCTGAGCGGCTCCTGCTCCCCACATTGAGCCCTGGAATTTTCTCTTCTGGTTCTCAAGGTGTTCCTGTCTTTCTCTGCTTCTTCTTGTGCGGGGCTTCTGGTTGCACGCTGTCACCCTTTTCCTGGCTCACAGTCCCCCTTTTCCTCCCACTGGTCAGAGGCTGGCCTCCCCAGGGCCGGGTTTGCTTGGTCTGACCCTGCGTCTACCCACAACTGCGCGCTTCTCGCTCTTCCCGACTCGGCTCCCTGCTCAGGCGGCTGTCCTTGCCCAGACCCTGTGTCCGGAAGGGGCAGCTCTGAGCGAGCATCCATGCTGGCTCTGGGAGGGTGGGGTGGAGGAGGGTGAGTAAGATGCCACCTTTGTCTTCCAGCGATGACAGTGATGATGCCCTGAAGAGCCCCACCCTTTTCTCTCTCCCTGAGATTCTCTCCGCCCCCTTTGGCACCTCTGGCCTCCTTCAGACCCTCACGAGGTTCATGGTAGCCTGACCACCATCTCAGCCTGCCACGTTCTGCGTGGCCTTGTGCTTCGTGTGCCCTGCCGTGGCTTCTTGACTACCCTCTCATCTGCCCTCGAGGTGGTCCAGGCTGGCTGCCGTGGCCTGTGCAGTGTCCTGCAGGAGTCTATGCAGTAGGTGCCGGGGGCCTGGCAGGGTTTTTCTAGACAGAGGCGGAGAAAGAGCAACACTGGCTGGTTTCACTTAGTGTGGAGTCTAGAGTGACTAGACAAAGGGTCAGACGAGGCAAACTGAGCCCGCCTGAAGGTAGAACAGAGACCTGAGGCTCTCAGCTGGCCGGGGCGGAGGAGGGCAGGGTGGAGGACGGTGCTGGGGCCTCGGGCCGTGTGCTGGGAAGCTGCCGCGGGTGCACCTGAGGGGAGCCGCTGTATTGTGAAGAAATAAGGACGTTTAGAAACAAAACAGTAAAGTAAAATGAACAAATGCTGCGAGAACAAAACCAACGTGGGCTTACGGCTCCCAGCATCCATCTTCGTGGCCCCCAGTTCTTGGCGTCCTGTAAAGACACGGGAAGGAGTGGCCTAGAGGACCCTGGGAGGCTCTGTTTAGGAGGGAGCCGTCACAAGATACTAAAAACTGGAACAGGACAATTATTTTTCAGATTCCTCTGACGGCTAGCCCTCGGCGGCCCATTCGCACACAGAGACAGCGGTAACATTTTCAGTCCCCTGCCAGGGCCGGGGCCTTTTGCTGCCTGATTAATAACGCAGCACAGGTGACCCGTATGGTGCTGAGGGTGCAATGTCCCAGGACTCCATGCCGGTGGGGCAGGCTCAAGGGTCAGGGCACATGGGCAGCCGAGACTCAGAGGCAAGTCTGGCCCTGCAGTCACAGCGCAGAGGGGGCTCAGCTGAGCTTGGACGCTCGGGCATTCCAGCTCTGCAAATCCGCCCCCTCCCGTCCGTGCGTTTCAGTCTGGCCGGGGGACTGGGCTGTGAGCAGGGCCACAGCTCCCCCTGCACCTTCGGGGCGTCCGCCAGTCTCTGATCCCAGGGGGCTGGCAGAAATGCCCAGTTCACGCGTGTAGAGAGGGCTCTTCCGTGCGCTTGCCGGGGCAGGGGTGCGGAGGGCAGACCGTGCCCACTGGCCGCAGGGAGGCCACAGTTGCCAGCTCACTCACGTGGGCCCACTTGGACGAAGACAGCCGTGTCATCCAGCCGTGTCATCCAGCCGTGTCATCCGTGTCACCCAGAGCGGGGCTCTGCTGCTGCGGGTGCTCAGGCCGCCTGCCTCAGGCTGGGGTGCGGGAACCAGCGCCTCCAGCAAGCAGGGACAGATGGCCGCGTGTGTGGCGGCCTGGCCGTAGGAGGAAGGGAAGCCGGGCTTCACACGGAGCAGGATGAGTGGAGAAGAGGCCTGAGGCTTTAATTCAAAAGCTGAGACCTTCCAAAGAGACAAGAGTAGAGGCCTTCTGAATGCAAAACCAGTAGAAGAAAGGAAATGAGCTATTTGGACGGTCAAGTAGACGCACCTCACAGCCCAGCAGTGTGAGAAAGAAACCGAGACCTAACCCTGGAGACCTGGCATGTGAATGAGTGGTAGGCGTTCAGAGGAGCCAGAGGACAGGTGGCGGACTAACAGAGCAGTAGCAGAACACTCCACTGGAAAGATGCTTTTTCATATTATCATGAACTCATGCTTAGGTCAATACTTTTTAAAATAAAATTTCTAAACTCCAAGAGGAAGGAAAAAGTGTCCATTTGCAGGAGCAAAGAACAGGTTGTTCTGAAGGGAAAGCGAGTGCGTGGTGCTCTCGGGTTCCCGCGCGGCCCCGGGGGCTGGAGGCAGTGGGCCTGTCGCCAGCTGCGCAAGGGAGGGGCGTGCCCAGCCACGCCGTCACCCACGGGCCACCACGAAGGAAGGGGTGTCAGATCTGTGAGGCCAAAACTCACATTACTAGTTGTGCTTGGAGAAAACACCCAGGGAAGTTCTCTAAAGAAAGGATTGTGGGGGCCGAGCAGAGACGCGGAGATGGGGTGAAGGCGCGGAAGCGGGCTGGCAGTGAGGCTGGGCGCGAGCGCAGACGGCTGGGCCCAGCGGCTAGAGCGGCTGGATGGGCTGTCGCCACGTGTGTTGCCGTGAAGGACTTTCACAGTAGGAGAAGCTGCTGTGAGGGAAAACACGGGGACTGAAAATAAAGTTGTAAACCCTCTCTGCATAACCTCGGGCTTGGGGAAAGGATTGGAGTGGGGAATAAGCGTTCAGGGCACTTACACAGGCAAGGAAGACCCGGAGGCGTGGTTGCTTGTTAGTTCACAGAAGGAGCTTTGATTTTTTTTAAAAACAGGATTATTTATGCATACAGAACTGGGGTACAGGCCAGAGGTGCAGGGGCAGTGAGAGGCATCACCAGAGACAGAGTGGGGAGCAGAACAGGCCGACTGAGGAAGTGCACTGCTGAGGGAGCAGCGGGCGGGCAGGAGAGGTCTGCCGCGCCATGAGGGTCAGCTCTAGGCCGGACCGAACTCGTGTTGCAGCGGCTGTGCATAGCTTCATAGTGCTGTGCTTTAAGCCCTCAGTCCCGGCGTCCCTCTCTGTGAGCCTGGGGTGGGGGTGCCTCGGAGAGCGCGCACTAGGGAGGCAGGGTGGGGAGGAGCTTGGGCTGCTGGGGCATGATCCTCAAGAGGGACCTTTACTAGTTGGGTGGCTGACAGTCAGTCTGTAGGGGCCAGAGAAGGGGTCCAGGCTGGAGGGCTTGTTAAAGCAAGACACACCCACTTTCAGTGGAGGTTGGGGAGCCTGGGACCTGTGACTTCCCCTCCAGGCGTCCCTTCTCTCCCCCAAGCCCCATTCTGGCCTGCTGGCCCGGGGCAGGTACACCTCCTAGTGCCTCTGCAGTCCTCTGTGCAGCCCTTGGGCCTGCAGAATCAGGTGGCTGGGTGCTGCTTCCCTGCTGTAAGCAACTGGGTCTAGTGCTGATCTCGCTCTCCCCACGAAAGGAAGGCTGGGGGAGTGTTGAGAACACAAGAGACTTGTGGGAACGGGCATAAATAACACCATTTGGGCTCTTGCCCTGTGCCTGCTGGCGCCTGGCACTCCAGACTCCTCAGTGCTGTTAGTGAATCCCCGCCACAGAAGCCTGTGGTCACACAGATGCTGGGGCAGTCCTGGATTTAAACCCAATGTGTTGGACTTCCAAACCCCATCCCTCTCTGAGGGCGAGAAAGGCATGACGCTAACCTTACGGAGCTCAGGCTCCAGGGAGAGATGTCCAGGGAAATCAGCAAGTCGGCATCAGAGGGACATGCCCTGCGCTGCACCAGGCGAGGGCACTGGGTCCGGGTGGGAGCCAGGGGCTGGAGGGGCTCCTGGCCAGTGGCGCCCGCGGTGTGAGCACTTCCCACCACCATCCCCCAGGAGGCGCTCGCTCGTGGCGGTGGTCAGTGCGCATGCTCTGTTAGTGCTGCCTCCTCGAGGGTCCCCCAGGCGCTCCCACTGGGGAAGACCCCACCTCGTCCCAGTACCCTGCGATGCGTCACTCTACGTTGTGGGTCCTCCAGCCTTGGGGGCACACGCAGTGCACTTGGTTGTGGGTTCATGCTGCCCAGCCCGCGTGCACTCCGCATCTGTCCGTGGAGTACGTTCGACGGGCATCTGTAGGACTGTCCCGTAGCAGTGACCCCAAAGGGGTGAAACGTCACTGTTACTTTGAATAAAGTCCAAGCTAAATAAGTCCCCCCACGAACCTACTACTCCAACAGGTCAAACTGCTTTGTGCTTGCCCATTTCCCTTCGAGTTCCCCTCCCGGGGCAGGGGGTTTGCGCTGCGGCGGACCCGCCTCTCCCGCCTCCTGAAACCGATTTGGGAACGAGAGCGCGCAGCTGGGACGTGACCGCCAGGTGGCGCCGCAGCACCGGGCATCGGACTCCAGCCTCCGAGGGCTTCGCAGCCGGCCTGGCCTGAGCGTCCTGCCCCTTTCCAGTCGTCTCCCTTCGGTGCTGCGTTGAGTGTCTCCCTGCTAATTTCAGGAGGCGGGGAACGAGGCCAAAGTGCAGAAAGTAAATGCTGTACAGTGATGCCTGTAGGAGGCCCAGGGCACATCCTTCTGTACTTGCAGGCGTGTGCTCACGTGTGTCGGGATTTCCCTTGCTCTGTGAGGGCTTCTCAGACTCCCCCATTTAAAATTGTAACTGGCTTCTGTGCCCTCTTCCTGCTTCTGCTTTTTTCCTGTCACTTAATACCAACCGACGGCCATTTATTTCACCGAATACCTGATTCATTGTCTGTTCCCTCGACTGGAATGTACTGGAATGTCTGGCGTTTCTTCCTGCCCGGTGCCCAGCACAGTGCCTGGCACAGCTAGATTTTCAGCAAGTGCGTGTGGACTGGACGGT